TTGCACTACCTTTTATACAATTTTAGCCAATACAACAAGGAAGTGAGTGCTGATAGCAGGCAATAATGGACTAAAATAAGAGTATTTATTTTCAAATTGCAAATACACTTAAACAGTGTACTGCTTCAAAACTGTTCTCCTAAATTTGTGACTTTATTTGCAAATGGTGAAAACTGTACTTATCTCAAACGTGGTAAATTGATACACGGTGTGAAACAGAACATGCTATACAACCAAAGTGTGCTGTTAATAGCCAGATACTTCAGTGCTCTCACAGTCTAGATCAGTGGTATTCAACCTTTTTTGTTCGCGTACCCCCAGATATAATTTCTCTTCAACTTTGTACCCTCAAAGTTGTTGGTGTATAATTCAAGTTATACATAGTATATAATCTACATCTAAAATAAATTAAATAAATTACATTACTGATTATTCAGTGTTTATCATAAAATAATATATGTTTTTTTTAAATTTCACATACCCCCTAAGGTGTCTTCGCATGCCCCCTGGGGTAGGCGTACCCCAGGTTGAATACCACTGGTCTAGATAACCACTGGCCATTAGCAATATAAGAAGGGGGCATATTACATGTTACTTACCAAATATTGCTTAGGGAATTAAATCACATGAACGGAGATTCATTGTACATGTGGCAAGAAAAAGGAAAATAGAAATGGCAACAAAATTTTTATTGCATAACCACATGGAAACAGCCACCTGGAAGACCAGCATGTAAATGTGATTAATACTGCAATTTTATCTCACATTAAGAAATCTCCTTGTTAGAGGTTTTATCTCACATCTACCAAAACGTCTAGTTAAAGACTGTATACCTCACTCAGCCCATTTCTTAAAAGAATCTTACATCCACACAATCTTCTTTTAGCAGAGAAGTATATAAGTTTGAAGCAATCATTCACAGATCCTGATTCTTTCCAATTTTATTAAGTATCACAGTATAATCAGTGATTACCTGCTGCTGAAGAGACCTCAGCTGCTGATGTTTCTGCTGCAACACTTGGGTAAGCTGTTGAGTGGCTGGGGAAATGTTAGGATCCAGCTGTTGCAAGTGAGCCACCAACTGGGACCGAGTCATCATGGCTGCACTCTGCAGGCTGCTCTTGCACAGGGACTGCTGATGCTGAGACACCAGCTGCTGTTGCTGGAGATGATCTTCTTGGTCCAACGTCTGCTGCGCTGATTGCATTGGTGGTGGTGGAGGTGGTGGTGGGGGAGGTGGCGGCGGCGGTGGAGGCGGCTGTTGTTGTTGTTGTTGTTGTAAGATCTGTGGAAATATGATCAGATACAGTGCATATCAGTAAAAATGCAAGTATACACAGACATAGGAACACACATATAAACAGTACATTAAAAGGTCACATCACCACATCCAGACGCATTCAGCCTCAAAGTTCAAGTCATCTAGTCTTTTACGCAGATCTCTAAATAATAATACATTCACAAAACATTCATTATTTTTAGGACACCTAAGATGTTCAATAAGATCAATCTGTTGAAATAAATTCATTTTATACATTAAAAGTTTTTGTTCAAAGGACTAAATTTTGAGTTCTTCTGAAATTTGTTGATTTATTTTGTATCCAAGAAGAATGATCTTGCTGTGTGCTGCTGAAATGTAACCACTGCAGAATAAAAGAATTTCATTGTAACAGAGAAAAGGACATAATTGCTTTCAAGCCTCAAAATATGGAAGACCAATTAGACATCAAAAAAGTTTATGCCGCACAATCTTAAATGTGAAGATAATTTCAAATCAAGTACCTCACCTATTTAACTCAAGACAGGACAGAAATTAAGGAAGTAAGCAAAAAGAAATAAAAAAAACAATAATTTAACATAGAAACAGCAGCACAATTGAAATAAATAAATATACAAGCAGGCAGAAGGCACTGAAAAGGCACTGTTGAGGAGATCAATCCCTGAAAGGAGTTGTAGCACTAGCAAGAATAAAAAGGAATTAAGCACAGGTAAAAGTGCTGTAAATATAATAATTTTGTAAATACCTGTTGTGGAAGTTCATGACTGTAAGGGAAAGGGTGAAAATGTTGACTATGTTGTTGTTGCTGCTGCACAGGTTGGTAGGCCTTACGACTGTTCTTCCCTTGAGTCTTTGTAGGTTTGGCTTTTGGCCGATCACTAATAGCAGTTGCCTGAAAGGAAATGTCATTTTCAGTTCTTAACATAATAAATAATTTTCAATCTGGGCTTCACAGGAATAAAAAATTTCATAATAAAATAGTTAATTTATGAATACAGGGCTGTGAGTTAAATGCTTATTTTGTAACAGTGTATCAACTAATGAGACTATGTAGTATTGAATATAACATGAATGCACTGTAGTTACCAATTGGTTTAAAGGGTTAATAATGGCAAAAACTTCAATCAGCACAGTCCCTGAACCAGAATCAGTTCCCGTGCAATATATGTATAATATTAAAATTTTGGAGTTGGTTATTTAATTATCAAACTGTACAGACAATAGCCATTAAAAGGCTGCCTTAAACTACTATGTTCATACTAATCGTCACCTAGACATAATTGTCTCTCTTTTTCTCTCACATACAGGTATGGAACACAGAAATTCTTTTTTAACTTCAGTCAGCCTCCAAGTCATGAGACACAGAGTGATTGTCACCTTGATGAACATTAAATATGGATTCCACTTTTAACAACTATAAAGTGGTTTACAAACCTGCAAAACATCAGAACTCGCAGTGATAGGCTGTGAGGGTGAAACTGGCTGCTGCTGCTGTTGGACCTGGGTTAAGTGTGGGGGTGAGGAGTACACACCCGAGGCAACAGACACAAAGCTTCCACCACTGCTCACTTCTCCACTCACTGTCAAAGCCTGCTGCTGCATGCAGGCACTGCTGGCTGCAGAAGTTTGCAGAGGTGGCTGTGACTGTTGGATCTTCCCAGTGTAGAAAGCATTATGGACCGAAATGGTGGTGTTCGGTCCCGGATGGAACAATGGTCCTGAGATGGCAGAACCACAAACCATCCCTGTCAAAATAGTAAGAACTGAAGTCATCAATCTAGGACAAAATAACTCTCACTCTCGCATCGATAAAGTTAGGACATAATTAATGTATGTTATATTCTAATGACACTGCCTTAGATCAATTATGAAGTAAGGTCATTAACCCTTTAAGCCAAAGTTCATCTAAATAATTAAAGAATTCAGTCCATACCTCAAGAAAAATACAACACTTATCCATTACAAAGATCAACTAGTTAACACTGTTTAAAGATATCATTGTTAATTCTGAGAATTATATGAAACCCACAAATACAAAATCCAGAGTTACTAATTTTTAAAGCAGATAGTACACATAGTGCTTTCATCTTACATATGGCACATATTGTAACATACGACACTTGTCAAGCACTTTGCATTTTTTATGGGCTCTAAACTCGTTACAAAAACAAATCTATGAGGCCTATTATATTATCTACTAAATCATAATTGAATTAGTTCTGCACAATGTCTATCTTCACAACACACATCATGTGAAGAAAGGAATGATAGGTATTTCCAATACTTGTTTTACCACAACTGATTTGTAGTAAGAGAACAAAAATTCAATTCACTACCAAATATTAAACGCCTGCAGAAAATTACAAACATTAATTCAGTAGTCTTAAAACCTTGCATACTGTGCAGTGTATTGATATATAATTCACGCATACAAACAAATAAAATACCTGTATAAATAGAAACAAGACATAAATAACAAGTTGTATGCAACATGGCTACAGGCAACTAATATTACAAGCACTGAACTGTTAAACAAATGACTGACTGACAGCTTCTGAAAGACGTCTCCATGAAACAAGTATTAAACTAATTGGTGGCAGTGAAAAAATTAAAACATTTCTTACCTTGTGTAGCTATGGACTGGGATGCTAGATCAATGTTCAAACCCAATGGCTGCACTCCCGGAACAAGCGTGGCAGTTGAAACTGATACCCCTGGAACAGCAGCCATGCCCAGTGATGCAAACTGTGCCGAAGTGCTGCCCTCTGGCAGTGGAGAACTAAGGAGCAACTGACTTGGTCCTTTCTCCTGCAGCTCACGCTCTACCCTCTGCAATAGACAGAAGGAGTCAGAATGACAAGTGTAAGGTGAATCATCCTACTGAGTTACTGAAATGAACATCTAGTAAATGGTTGCATCTTTTCCACAAATAACAACATCTACAATACTGCACACTATCTCAAACTACAGCATATTACAGGTAAGAAGCTTTTTTTATATATGAAGTTGGTTTTTGAAGTCCCATCATTATGCCTATCAGATGTGTTATTTCCCACTGAAAAGAATCTTCTACATTACAACCTTGGAATAACATACATTTGATGGTCATGTTTTTAAACAAATACTGGAAAGATAGCTTCAAAACTGACTATTTTCAAGTGATATACAGAAGTACATGTTTAAACCACTGGTTACATTCATTTCATTTTGCTACTTTTCAGATAAGTATACTCCATGTTAACAACCAATAACTGATACCCACTGCCAAATAAGTGGCCATATTCAGTCAACTTACAGCATCATTTGTCACCATACTGAAACAACTTAAGTGGTCACTGCACACAAAACGACTGATCAACTGAGCTTAATCAGAAGGACTTTAATACAATTTGTGTTATGGAGATCTGAAATTTGCAGAGAAACACAGAGGACAAGTTAACAGTACCTTTACTGTATACACAATACTAATAACTGACAGTGATGATAATTGTCCTCGCTATATTTTCAATGAGCTATTATCCAATAATACAGAATCCAAGCAACTGTTTAAGGAAAGCTATAACTTAAATAAAACAATAAAAAAAATAAAATCTCAATCAGTACATCTGATTTGAAACCAGGGCCCCCCAAACCTAAAGCAGTAGTGCCAACTTCTATAGTGCAAAGTTTGGTGCAGTAAAACAGGACTGACAAGACATATGTCAGAACATTTTATGGTCATAAATAGTTCATTTCCAACCAGCATCCTTTAGTCAAGAAAATAATAATGTATTTACCTGCAGTTCTTCTAGGATTGCCTGCTTCTGAATGATAGTATTTTCTGCACACTGCTGCTTCCTCACCTTGTCCATATCTGTAGTACTGCCCTTGTCAAGAATATTGCTATCATCCTTGGCTACGAGACTAACAGGTATTAGACTAGCTACACTGTCTCCAAGAGGCTGGTTTCGAACCTGGACAGAATCACACAACAGAATCTCCAAGATCTATACAACTATGGCAGTGTGATATTTTCTGCTATCTTATAACTGCTGAATTTTAAATTCAGTTCATTATGAAACAGAAAATGACACTGAATAGAGAACAAATGAGTGGCAAAATGATCCATAATAAAAAAGGAGCATTTAGGAAATATAATACTACTTTTTCATTTTCAGAAATGGATGTTACTTGTCAATCAAAACTTTACTTATAAGGAATGCCCATTAATTTAAAGGCAGTAATTAAAAAGACACGGTGATATCGGACAATACAACCAATTATAAAGAGTAAAGCAAGGTAAATGTAGAACATACCACAATGGTGGGCAAATACGAGGGTCGCTCATTAAATAATGCCCCACATTTTTTTTCTCAGCCAATAATGAAGATAGAAAAGTGTACTTTTACATGCTTGAGATTTGATGTTTC